TACATGAATAAAATTACTGGGAATTTCAATGTTTGATATAAAAAAAGATTGAAAGGAATAAATAGTCTAAAGTCCAAAATGTCATTGTTACGTTGTTGCCAGGCATAATTTTATGTTAAATAAAGGAGGATAATTTATCTCATCATTATTTTTTTTTTCTTCCTAAAATCTATGGAATTAAAATTTCAAAAAGAGCATCGAATTTTAATCTATACTATATATAAAAACAAAATCCTGAAATTTTAACTTCCCGCCCAATTCCTAAAAAATCACTCTTCCTAATAAAATATATTGATTTCTACTTTCCCATTCGTACAATAATTCTGCGTTACAATTCTATTCTAATATTATAAAATAGTGTAATACAATCTATACTATAAATAAAAACAAAATCATGAAATTTTAACTTCCTGCCTAATTCCTAAAAAATCTCTCTTCCTAATAAAATATATTGATTTCTACTTTCCCATTCGTACAATAATTCAGCGTTAAAATTCTATTCTAATATTATAAAATAGTGTAATACAATCTATACTATATATAAAAACAAAATCCAGAAATTTTAATTTCCTGCCTAAATCCTAAAAACTCTCACTTCCTAATAAAATATATTGATTTCTACTTTCCCATTCGTATAATAGTTCTGCGTTAAAATTCTATTCTAATATTATAAAATAGTGTAATACAATCTATACTATATATAAAAACAAAATCTTGAAATTTTAACTTCCCGCCAAATTCCTAAAAAATCTCTCTTCCTAAATCCAAATAAAATATATTGATTTCTACTTTCCCATTCGTACAATAGTTCTGCGTTAAAATTCTATTCTAATATTATAAAATAGTGTAATACAATCTATACTATATATAAAAACAAAATCTTGAAATTTTAACTTCCCGCCCAATTCCTAAAAAATCTCTCTTCCTAAATCCTAATAAAATATATTGATTTCTACTTTCCAATTCGTACAATAATTCTGCGTTAAAATTCTATTCTATTATTATAAAATAGTGTAATACAATCTATACTATATATAAAAATAAAATCCTGAAATTTTAACTTCCCGCCCAATTCATAAAAAATCTCTCTTCCAAATAAAATATATTGGTTTCTACTTTCCCATTCGTACAATAATTCTGCGTTAAAATTCTATTCTAATATTATAAAATAGTGTAAAACAATCTATACTATATATAAAAACAAAATCCTGAAATTTTAACTTCTTGCCTAATTCCTAAAAAATCTCTCTTCCTAATAAAATATATTGATTTCTACTTTCCCATTCGTACAATAATTCTGCGTTAAAATTATATTATAATATTATAAAATAGTGTAATACAATCTATACTATATATAAAAACAAAATCCTGAAATTTTAACTTCCCGCCTAATTCCTAAAAAATCTCTCTTCCTAATAAAATATATTGATTTCTACTTTCCCATTCGTACAATAATTCTGCGTTAAAATTCTATTCTAATATTATAAATTAGTGTAATACAATCTATACTATATATAAGAACCAAATCTTGAAATTTTAACTTCCCGCCCAATTCCTAAAAAATCTCTCTTCCTAATAAAATATATTGATTTCTACTTTCCAATTCGTACAATAATTCGAAGTTAAAATTCTATTGAAATTTTAACTTCCCGCCTAATTCCTAAAAAACCTCTCTTCCTAATAAAATATATTGATTTCTACTTTCTCATTCGTACAATAATTCTGCGTTAAAATTCTATTCTAATATTATAAAATAGTGTAATACAATCTATACTATATATAAAAACAAAATCCTGAAATTTTAACTTCCCGCCTAATTCCTAAAAAATCTCTCTTCCTAATAAAATATATTGATTTCTACTTTCCCTAATAAAATATATTGATTTCTACTTTCCCATTCGTACAATAATTCTACGTTAAAATTCTATTCTAATATTATAAAATAGTGTAATACAATTTTTACTTCTATCTATACTATATATAAAAACAAAATCTTGAAATTTTAACTTTCCGCCCAATTCCTAAAAAATCTCTCTTCCTAATAAAATATATTGATTTCTACTTTTCCATTCGTACAATAATTCTGCGTTAAAATTCTATTCTAATATTATAAAATAGTGTAATACAATCTATACTATATATAAAAATAAAATCCTGAAATTTTAACTTCCCTCCTAATTCCTAAAAAATCTCTCTTCCTAATAAAATATATTGATTTCTACAATAATTCTGGGTTAAAATTTTATTGTAATATTATAAAATTGTGTAATACTATTCCTATTCTAATCTATATCTATTCTATATATATCAGTGTTGCAAAAATCGTGTCGCTGGCCGCGGCGAAGAAGGCCGGAATCGGCCTCCTCAGCGGCCGCCTCGCCGGCTGAACCGGCCTTTAATTTTTTTTTTTTTTTAAGTTGTAAAGTGTCCAAAGTTCGGCAAGGCATAACTTTTGACTCCGTTGTCCGTTTTGGACAAATGTTTTTTTGAAATCGCGTATTTTTTCGAGATCTATCCACCGCAAACTGCCGTAGGCGGTTTGGCCCACCAATTTCTAAAAAAAAAAAAAATACTTTATTAAAGAGTTTCTAAGAAAAAACTATGAGAACATTTTGTTTTATTAATGAATTTTTAAAATTTTTAATTAAACAATTGTCCCGTGCATTATTTAATAATCTTTCTTTATAATTGGTCAAATTATTTAATTATGGTAAATTTGAGAATAATTAATGATGGTAATAGAAATCCTAGAAGAATATAGAATTGAACAATATTTAATTATTGTTATATTATTATTGTGACTCATGGAATACAAGTAATGCCATTTTTGGTCCTAGACTTATTGGGACATTGACACTTTTCATCCTCCATAATAAAAATTGCCACTTAGTAGCCACTGTTATTGATCGTTGGACAGTTTTGATCTTCCGTCAATGACGCCGTTTGTTGACCGTGAATTAGAAGGGTTTTTCTGTCTTTTTATGTTCTAATCCTTGTATTCTCCATCCATTGGTCACTGCTACATCCATTTCTTCAAACTGAGGTTATCCGCTTCAGTCCTTTCTAACATTAAGAAACCATCTTCACCCAACTAACAATCACAAATTTTACATTTGACATCAATCTCAAGATAATGGAAACAAGTGCAGTTGGAATAGAAAGGGCGTTAGTCCATGCCTGTGGAAATTTTGTCGAGCATACAACATAACTAGCAAAGTCAGGAATATCACCCAACCCCTCCCTTAACCTTTCTGCATCAACTATAATAGGTATGCCCCTACTCTTTGCCTCCTGCACTATAATCAAAGCAGTCTCATGCAGCCTTCCATCTAAGTAGACAATATTTACTCCAAGCGCTGAAGACAATTTTGATTTGGGTATGTAAACCCTCATATATCATGGGTGGATATCCTGGAGTGAAAATGCACATACGAGTTTTTTTTTTTGGTTGTCAACAATGACATATGTGAATGGTGAGTTTCCTCCTTTGGACACCACCATAAAAGATGTATCAACACCATCCCTTTCAAGCTCATCAAGTATTCTTTCGCCATGCAAGTCATCAGCAACCTTAGATATGATCCTTGGATTAAGACCAAGACGAATTTTATCATCCGGGTTTTATCAAAGCATTGCCAGTGTTACCACCTCCTTGAACCTCAAAGCTGGTGCTCCGAATTTTATCATCCGGGTTGGGGAATGAAGCTACAGCAGCCAGGAAGTCAACACCGACCATTCCAACACCTCAGACAATGCGATTTTTGGGGAGCGGCGGATTCCACATTTTCAGCTTGAAACTTCAATGAATTTCAGGTAGAATAACAGAGTTTTTGAAGTTGTGCACCAAGTAGTTGTGGTCAGAGAGAGAGAGAGAGAGAGAGAGAGAGATGGGAAGGATATTTGTGGTCAATATGGAAGGGAGGACTTACAAGTGCAAATTCTACATCACGCCATCTACAACTGCTATTTACCATAGGAGGGTTCGCCGACCTGCTGCCCTCTCTGCTTCGCCGGAACCAAAAACCACCGGTGAAGGCCCCAACCTCGCCGGATCTGTTGCTGCACCGCCAGATCTGCCTTACTGATCCGTCGCCGGAAGGAGTTACTGCCTCGTATCTCGCTGCCGTACCCACAACTCGCCGGAGAAGAACCTCGCTGCTACTCACTACTGACGGTTACTACTTAGCCGCCAAGTCTCGCCATCTCGCCTCACAGGAGTCACAGCAGCGCTTGTCTAAACAAGATTAGAAGAATAAGACATAAAAAGACAGAAAAGCCCTTCTAATTCACGGTTAACAAACGGCTTCATTGACGGAGGATCAAAACTGTCCAACGACCAATAACAGTGTCTACTAAGTGGCAATTTTTATTATGCTGGATGAAAAGTGTCAATGCCTCAATAAGTCTAGGACCAAAAATGACATTAACTCCGGAATACAATACAAGAATATTTAATTATGGTTATATTATTATTGTGCCTCACGACCATTATATACTAACAATACTTGAAAAGAAACTAATAATAATAATAATATAAGTGGTAATAATAATATCTAAAAGTAATTAAGTGTTAATAATAATAACACTATATAATATTTGATGTTATAATTTATATAATTATATATATAATCTTATACTTGTCATAATTCGATCATATATTCGGGTTGTATAATCTGGACCCCCGGGTTCATATAATCCATCAATATATTGTTCTAAATATTCTTAAAATATTATAGTAAATTCATTCCGTGCATCGCACGGTGAAAATACTAGTTCCATGAAAATGAGAAAATTACAAATCTATAAAATTACAATTCTTTCTAACAAAACTAAAAAAATTAATAACATTTGAAATTAGATAGAAATTAAATGGGAATAGAATTTAAATTCCCTCCACCTTACTCCATGTAAAAATTTATAAAAGTTGTGAATACACTCCTTTAGAATGAAGACGAAGAAAAGCATTTTGTTTTATTTTTCTCGTGCGGCATTAGCCTCCGACGCGCGTCATTTCGCAACTGACACGCACTCTCTTTCTTTCTCTCTCTCTCCCTGATGGACAGGAAGAGGAAGGAGATGTACTACGCAGAGGGCGCTTTTTAGCCAGGTCTCACTCTCTATCGTTATAATACGCCATTTCCTCTCTGCTCATATTTTTCCCACAATTCTCTAAATCTCACTCGTCTTCTCCTTCCATGATCAGATCACCAAAACCCTAGTTCCTTTTCTCCATCGTTAATCCCTTCAGTTTCATAGGATTCCGTTGATTATACTGCCTGCACTTTCATAAATAATTGGATTTGATTTAGATTATATTAGATATTTCAATCTGTATATGTGCACGCATACAGGAGGAGAGGTGAACTGATTCATAGTACTGTTGTAGTCGGAATAGGGATGCAGAGGCAAAGTCCGCCGAAGCATAGGCACGATGGGACTTCGCCTTTGCCATTGGGAATGGATTGGAGTCCGCCCCCCAAAAAATGGGTAAGTTTTTTTATTTTTTAATTTCCGATTTTTAGTTTATTGTTGAATTACCCGAATTCTGGATTATTTTCTTTGTCACACTTGAATGAGGCTAATTTCAATGTCAATTGATTGAATATAGGATCAATTGGTTTTGAATTTTATTTCTATTCCTGATACTTTGATTTCATTGAACTTGATGCTAACATAAGCTTAGTTTTGAACTAAGAGAAGAACATTTATGTTAATTTAGCTTAAGATCAGCTTTTGGGGGGAGAACTGGAAATATGGTAATGTTAATCAGTTCTTGTTGCTTACAATGATATCAGTTTATAAGTAATATTATGATGAGGGAAGTGTAGATTCCAAGTAGCAGCAGTTTGATGGCAAAACAAACTTGATTTTGAAGCAAACATGGAAAATTTTGTATATTGAGCTTCCGCACAACTCTTTGGTGTATGAAGTTATTTACCCATTGACAGAAACCTGAAAAACTTTGGTAATAGCTGTTTTGCTTATAGTGCTATGGATGTTCATCTAACAACATTAAAACAACTACTTTCTTATTATTGATTTACAAGCATTGGTGATGAATATGTTTTGTTTATGAGTTAAATAGTAGTGGGACGTATTGATCTCATTCAGATCAGTATTGTGATCTATGCAACTTAATTTTCTTTGTTTCACTTTCCAGGCAGGACAGGAAACTATATGGCCTCATGATCCTCACACAGGGTGGAGTTATTGTGTCACAATTCCTTCCTGGGTTGTCCTTGCAAAATCAAGAGATTCAGATCCTGTAGTGGTATTCAAATTGTTTGTTCAATGCAAGAACTTGATGTTTGTTATGTCATCCCTTAAAAATTGCTTTTCTATAACATATTTGGAGAATTTGCCACATTTAGAAAGGAAACACATGTGGTAATGTACAGAAGAATTCAATGAATCTTAGATTTATTCTGGAAGTTCGAATAGTGAACCTAGCTACCCATAGGGAGGGTTCTGAGGGGGAGGGGGTGTTAATATTAAAAATATCTTGTATGTGTTTATCTCTGAAATGACCACTTCACCAACTAAAAAAACTCCTGTGTCATATTGTTTAGAATATGGGCTGTAATTGGTCTTAATTCCATCGTCTTCCGTCTTTTTGAGAAAATTCAGATCTGGTCACAAGAAAAAGATTTACTAAATTACACATGATGGCAAATTGGCAATTATCTTATTCAAGTTTTGTTTGCATCTAAAGACTGCTAGTTGTAGAGCAATATTAACACTCTTGAAGGGCAGTTCTACAGGGTTGTGGTTGGCATACAGTCGCCAGATGGGATCACAAGTACACGAATTGTACTTAGAAGATTTAATGATTTCTTGAAATTTCATGCTGCGGTAAGTCTATACATTCTTTTGAGTTATTGTGTAGATCTTCAATATGTCATAAGGGAATATTAAGTTAATTCTTGCTCAGATTTCAGTTGATAGACTGGTGGATCTTTGTCAACATTTGTTTGTAATTTTGTATCATATCTTGCAGCACATTATTTGACAATAATTTCATTTAACAGCTAAAAAAAATATTCCCCAAGAAAAATCTCCCACCAGCCCCACCAAAGGGATTCTCACGGTTGAAAACCAAGGTCTTACTGGAAGAGGTAACCAAACTAATTCTATGACTTTGACCACCACTGTGGCTTTTTCTTCTAATGAATATTAACGCATGCGGAATCATTTATCACGATTTACTTTTAGCGATTCCTCAATTTCTCATGATTTATAATTTCCCTTTTGTTTTTGGGACATTCCAAAAGATAACCTTCCTTGAGTGCAGTCTTTTTCAGTATCTGCGAATTTTGATTAACTTAAAACAATATTACCTTTATATAATGCTTATCCGTTTCTCATCTATTGTTCCTTTTCAACTACTTCAGTATGCATACTATTTCTATAACAAATCATTCAACTTTGTGTACATCCTATGATCCTATCTTTTTCTTAGCTGAATAGGTCAATTCAGGTCACTAAATAGAGTTATAAGGGAATTTTAGTATTTCCATGTGCTTCAATATTATATTGACATCTTTTTAGTGTCCATCTTTATTCTTATTAATTAAATAACTGCTATTATCTGTTCAATTCTATCATATTGCTGGAATTACTCTGACAATAATTCCTAAAAGTGGATTTCACTTTCAATGGCTTCATTGTGCAGAGACGTTCTTCTTTGGAGGAATGGATGGCAAAATTACTATCTGATATTGATTTATCAAGGAGTGTTGCAACAGCATCCTTTCTTGAACTCGAAGCAGCTGCTAGATCTTGTATGTCTTACATTGCCTATCACATTTTGGAAACTAGTGATATATACAATGTAACTTATCACACAAGTGTGGGAATTTATTTTTAACTCTGTTTAATGTTGGTATGCCTTCTTTCTTTTTAGTTTTTGCTTCTCTAATGAAAGTTATTGCTATAAACTGTTTCAGCGTTTCAAGATGAACAGCAGCTCACTTCAGAACCAAGATCACCTGTAAATAACGCTGCTTCCTCTCTTGAAGTTCATCCTAGTGCAGGCTTGTCTGTAGTAGCTGGCAGTTCATCACTTGCATCTGATTATGGTAGTGACACTGCTTATGAGGCATCTGATGTTGACTCAACCAGCTATGGGAGGGGCAATCCTTCTGAACTGGGGACTGAAGATCTCTCACTGGATGAGGATTTATCGAGTCCAATAGATAAGTTTATGAAGTATGGTATGTCCAATATAGATGAGGGCTTGTTCATGGGACAGGCTATTTTAGAGCAACTTGGAAGTTTCCCTAGGCATAAGACCCATGCAAAAGAGATCAGTAATGTTATGGAGGAGAGTATGAGCAATGGAAGTGCAATGAAATCTTCATATATTTCAGGTGATACGACTGCACATTTTTCAGAGCAAGATCATAGTCACATAATTCATCATGCTAGAAAGTTATCAGCTGAGAGTGTTGGAAGTGATATCGCTTCTCAAAGAGGCAGTGAATTGGCTAATTCCTCATTTCCCAATTCATTTGGAGATGGGTGTGCTGAGATACCTAAAGCTTCCAAAGCATCTGGAAACACAGAAATTCTTGGAAAAGACTTGGCTCTTCCTGATCATATACAGTTGGTCCTTCCATCAGATCAGCGTCATAAAATGCATAGGGTTCTTACCACTATGCAGCGGAGATTGGTTACAGCAAAAACTGACATGGAGGATCTTATTTCAAGATTAAACCAGGAAATTGCTGTGAAAGATTACCTCTCAACCAAGGTAAGGTGGGAATTATAATAGTTTTTCTTAAGCTATTTATTTGTAGAAATAATTTAAGGCATTTAAAAAGTTGAATGCTTGTTACTCCTACTCTGTTTTTCTTATGCTAATGTGGGAAAAAAAAAATTTAAAATGCCCAATGTAGTTTGGGGGGGGGGGGGGGGGGTGGTGGTGGTGGTGTTCTTGATGGATAACGGACTCTAGAAGGAATTCTACTCTTTATTGTAAGGATAATTTACCTTCCTTTACTGCTTCTGGAATTTCTTTATACCACGAATGAGAGTTTAAAATCTATTGATTTGATTATGTCCACTGGAAGACTTTCATGAATTGCAGTGGTATTACTGTATTCGATTTATCTGAGGTTTTAGGTATTCTATGTATAGGTCAAAGATTTGGAAGTGGAGCTTGAAGCAACTAAAGAAAAAAGCAAAGAGAACCTTGAACAGGCAATTTTGGTTGAGAGGGAAAGAGTTACTCAGATGCAGTGGGACATGGAAGATCTTCGGCGGAAGTCAATGGAGATGGAATATAAACTAAATTCACAACAGGTTGTGCTTGCTTAACCATATACCTTTTCCTTTAGCTATCGTGTTTTTTTTTTTATTTTGTATAGTAATCATTCCAGATTATAATTAGTGAAACTTCATCAGGGTGAAATAAATAAAGATTCCTCAATAACCAATCTCAACCAGGAGAAAGATGCACTCCAACAGGAATTAACAGCCACAAAACTACAGTTTGAGGAGCTATTGAAACGACATCAAGAGCTGGAAGTAAAATCAAAAGCGGACATTAAAGTTCTCATTAAAGAAGTTAAAACTCTTCGAAGCTCTCAATCAGAATTGAAGCATCAACTTAACGAATCATTCAAGGAGAAAGCTGAAACTGAGGTATATCTTGGTATTCCATTTCATGCAGTGTACATGTCCTTTCCTTGAAACAATTAGTTAACCTTTTTCTCTAGAATCAGTAGTACATGTTCTTTCCTTGAAGCATCTAGTTAGCCTTTTCTTTGGATATATCTTATGGTCTTTAGACCTTGTTGAGGCTGCAAGTAGTTATCTCCCTTCTTGACAATTACCATATCAAAGCCAATTTTCACAATTCATATAGTCTTGAGCTCTATTTACTTCACTACGTTGGAAAAAGCAAAAGGGCATGGGTGAATATGAAAGCTAGTTGATCACCAAAATATTTGTTCAATGAAAATCATAACTTTCTATATTGAGGATAAATTGGCTTCATGTGTTAACAGCTATCTGGATTGTTAAATGTTATTTAATATATTTTACATTCTTGAAACTTTACATGGATTTTCAGAGGCGGCATGCACAGGAAAGACAAATCAGTGAGCAATCAAGAACTGCTTGGATGAAGCTGCTGCATGATTGTGAAATTCTTCAACAGAGGGTTGAAGAGTGCAACATCAACTTAGCTGATGAAGAGGGAAACCTTATTAAAAAATTTCAATCACTACCAGATGCCATGCAGCTGCTCACAACTTCTGACAATCAAATCAATCTTCTGCTCACAGAGGTACTTCCAGGGTTTCTTTTTCAGATTTATTCTTTTTGGAATTTTCCCACATTGAATTTCATGATTTCAGACATGATGAGGCTATGGACACATGCTGCATAGTGCCTACTAAGGGCATGTTTAAATCCTATTTCACCGAAACTTGAACAGTATTTTCGAGAAACATCTCCAAACTGTGGGGCATCATGCTCTTAAAGTGATGCAGTTGCACTTGTATGCTGCAGTTTCATGTTTCTCAAATGTGTTTCTTCTTACTATGTCTGTTCACTGTTACATTCTTGATGAATGATGATATGATCCCAAGCATATGTTTTCATTACTAAATTGTTGATAATATTTTCCTCTCATATTTCCCCATCCTCCCCATTTCCAGAAAACGCTGTATTTTAACTGCGATCCAATTTTTATTTTATTTTTAGGTGCAACAACTAAGCCGAGGAGCCAACTCAGTTTCTGTTGATGATACAACAGATAATGTGGATACTGATACGATGGAGATAATTGAGAAGATGAGAAAGATGCTAACAAATGTTTTCATTAATAATGGTAAATTGAGAAAGCAGGTAAACTCAGTCCTGAGGTGTGCTCTTGAAACGAAAATGTGTTTTCAGCCCCAAGGTGAAAATATACAACACGATGAATTAGATGAATAAGAAACCGCAAATGTTGTATAATTTTCTCGTATCATAGAGTAATGTTGCAGCTTCCATTTACCAAATTACTATGTGGTTTACCTGGGCTGGGGAGGATGGATCTTGATGGTTTTGATGTGAGTGAGCATCATTTAGGTATACAGGTCAGACAGACAGAGAAGTCTCTCAAACCTTAATCTTTGAAGAGAGTTGAGAAATATACTGATATGTCCATATTACAGACAGCAGTTTTAACACTTGAGATTCTAACATTGTAATTTTCATTTTTGTCTTTGTGATTGGTTCCTATTTAGTATTTACTGTTTAGATCTAAGTGAGAGGAGAGTAGGTTTTTTTTTTTTTTTTTTACAACAAATAATCACGTAAAAAGTGATGAGAAGTAATTGTATACAAATAATTTAAAACGACTCTTTACTCTTGCAAAGAATTGTTTTCTTTCAATTGGAGATTGAACTTTTAGGCAGAAAGTTGAAAGGAGTTTTGAAGTTAACAGAAATTTAAATGACAGCAAATTTGATTAATATTACAATGGCATGATTTGTTACGGAGTATTATTTATTACTGGTTATAAACATGCATAATGCATGAAAAGTACCCAATAAAGAAAAATAATGATCAAATTATATAATCAAAATAAATATAAAATTACATGATTTTATAATTATTATAAGAAAAATATTATAAAAATATATAAAATTAAAATTAATTTATAAGTGTACAATAAAATAAAATAAGTACAATAGCACAATGTAAGTTATTAAGTTAATAAAATTTATTTATTTATTTATTTTTTGCACTCATTTAGATTCTTATCATCATGAAATTTTTATTACAGAGTATATTTTATATTCTCCATATAAGATAAGATAAAGTGTTTTTTTTTTTTTTTTTTTTTTTTTTTTGGGTTCTCTTTCTATACACACAATATAGAATGCATCATTACAATTTCAATTAATCAACAAATATATCCATATTTTATTGTAACCGTTAATAACTAATAAATACAGAATACAATTCCATTGTAACAAAATTAACAAACAAAAACTAATTAATTTAATTTAATTTAACTTTTTAACCAATTGGGGCATGATTTCTGCATCAAATATCAACTAAATTTGAAGGCCTTTGATAATTTAGAAATTTACGTAAAACTGAAAATCTCTAAATAGAATTTATACAAATTAGATTTAAAGAGTGGGATTTAGATGCAGCAGCATATTTGTAATATATAATTTTTTTTCTTCTTTTTTCATAGATTGATAGAAAAAAATTCCTAATTAACAGGGAGGACCTTCTTGACAATGTCATCACTGAGAGCTGAAATCTGGGAATCGAGAGCCTTTATGGTCTCCACCTTCTGGGTCTCCAGCTTGGCCAGCGCCTCCGTGAGCTCCGCCTCCACCTTCTTACGCCCCTCCGCCAGCTTCTGCTCCACCTCCTCCTGCGTCTCCTTCTTCATCTTGTTGAGCGCGGCGGATATCTCCGCACGCGCCGCCTTCATCACCGCCGCGCCCTGCTCCTCCAGCTGCTTCACCTCCGCCGACGTGTCCTTCACGCTGCTCAGCTTCTCCCTGATGGCCGCGTCCCTCTCGTCCATGAACTTCCCCAGCGGGCTGAAGTAGATCTTGTCCAGCGCGAACATCAGGAATAGGATCTCCGCCATGATTATCGGCAGCGTCAGGTTGAAGTCGAACAGCGACGCCTTCTCGATCTCCTCCGCCATGGACGGCGGCGCCGCCGCGAGGGCGGTGCCCAGAATCACCGATAGGGATTTCAAACTGGAGGAGGAGAGGGAGTGGAATTGGTTGCGTTTTGGGAGTTCGGGTAGGGTTAATTTCGGAAGGGAAGCCGAAATTTTGAGCCTTGGGGCAGGGAGAGCGGTGGGCATTAGGGCTTTGGAGGAAGCCATGATCATGTTAGCCATTGCTGCTCTTCTTCTTCTTCTTCTTCCTCTACTTTGCTGCTTGCAGAAGTGGAAATGAGTGAATAATTCTTTTTTTCTTTTTCTTTGTTTTTATTTTTTTTTGTGTTTTATATTTTGTGAGAATTTTGATTGGTGAGGAGAGGAGCCTAAAGATGAAAATCTAACAAAGTCTTATCTCTTTCTATTCCACACAAATTGATGAGGCCGATATCATATGGAGTTTAGAATTCCTTTCAGGTCACGTGTTACTGCACGTGACCACCCTTTTTTCTTTAATGAAAAAAATTGTATTTCTAGTCCTTTAGTTATACCTATTGTACAAATTTAGTCTCTGAATTATATATGAGTAAATATTTGATGCACCGCCATTGTATAGATGCTATACAACGGTGGTGAACAAGAAGATGCCACCTCATTAAAAAAAATATCAATAGTAAGTAGACCCTTTTTTGCAAAATATAATACTTCCTATATTAAACATTACTTAATTTAATGACGTACAATTAATTAATGTAATTATAACTCAATATATCAAAACTGCTAAACAATTTCACCCCTCTCTTGCCGCCCCTGTGAACATGATCTCCATTCTCCTATTCTCCCAACTTTCTTCATATCATAAGGTAAAAACAATGTACACACATGAGGAAAAAAAAATGGAATACAGAATGTTAAAAACAAACAAAAAGGAGAATCCAATTCACATTCCCTCCCAGGCCCCAGCCGAACCACACTCCTTCCTCTTCTTCATCACACTCCTCATGTTGCGACTTGCGAGGTTGGCAGTGGCAAATCCTTCCGCGGACAAGGAACTTGAATTTGGAATTTGCGTAGCCCACTGTTATTGGCATAGGATCAGAAACCAATTCGATCACTAATCATGTTCATTTGGCTTATTGTCACTAAGGTGGTTATTGCTTAAATATATCCAATATAGTGATCTGATCTGATCTGCAACAGCTTCAATTCATGAATGATTCTAGTATGAAACTGGATAAATGATTCTAGGCTCTCCATGCACTCAAGATTCACAAAACTTGAGTGTATTTCTCTTGACAAGTGTTGTGAGTTCAACATTTTCATAGCTTTGAGTTTGCCTAAAAAAGTTGGAATAATTTCTACCCGAGTTGATTGTCAAAACAAGTCCAAGAATGAATAGAAGTTGATGCTCCTTGGCAAGAGGGCTTGCTTTGATCTCTTCCAGTTCACCATCCACTCCAAGTAGCATATGGCAGAACTAAACCTGTAGTTGGGCATGTAATAATAAATTTGAAATTGATGGTGAAAAATGAAAATCTTTCTCTCACGGCCCGCCGGTTTTACTAATACCTGCAAGTTGTTGCCTGACAGGTCAAGGATTTGGAGACGTATGACTGATGTTACATTCGAAATCTTGTGGGGACGGTGATGATTATTTTTTAAACGTCTCAAAAGCTAGAGGGTAAAATTTTGAGTGATGAAATCTGGGAATTCTCCCGTTATCATGTTGTTATGAAAATCAAGTTGTTCAAGATGGGAGATCGATGTTAATTAGATTGCGAGGTTCGGAGAAAAGTTATTTTTCCCCAGGAAAGTAGGTATTCTGGTTTGAGTAGGCAAAGATACCGGTGGGACTTCACTAGATAATTCATTTTCAAACAAGTCCAGCTACACTACTAGTGTAGAAATGGGTTTTGTCTACGATCTAGAAATATTATACCAAAGAATATGCTATACGAGTTCTTGCAGAAAAGTAGGCTGGCAATGGAGGTTTTGATAAATTTTACTCTGTAGTAGTTAACGAAAAAGAGTTATAAATACATTAAATAATTAGTTGTAATTAAATTAAGTAATGTTTAATATAATAATTTAGGAAGTATTATATTTTGCAAAAAAGGATTTACTTAATATTAAATTTATTTTTAATGAGGTGGTATCTTCTTGTTCACCGCCGTTGTATAGTATCTATACAACGGGGGTGCATCAAATATTTTTCCATTATATATATGATAATTTTTAATCTCAAAGTTATATGTAAAGTAGTAATTTTAGTCCTTTGGGGACTATGTTTGTCACTAATATATCAGTAATAAAGTGATTTATTTGATTTTTCATGGTTCAAAATTACAACTTTACACCTAACTTAGAGATTAAAAATGGTCAAATATATATAACTCAGGAATTAAGTGTGTACTATGAGTATAACTAAAAGACCAAAAATACATTTTTCAATAACAAGCTAAGTTTCATATTATTGGAGGAGAAGTTGGCAATAATGGAGATTTACGATTAAAGAGGTTTCTTTTCACAACAAACACTGCATCCCAGGTAAAAGGTTGGTGAACTTGATACACATTAAAAAACAAAAGGAGGGATAACGCCGACCGAGTTTATCAAATTATTGATTTAATAACTATATTATACAAGAACACTAACCTATTTGAGTAGGTGTAATCAATATACTTTTTGTGTAAGAATTTAATTTTGTATAGGCCAATTCTTTAAATTAGTAATCAAATTTTATATTAGAGTTAATATTTTAAACAATACGAGAATCAAATTGATTGAAATTGAAAATTATAAATTACATTGACAGTTAGAAAACAATTGAGGGATCAAAATGTCGATTTTTATTCTGTATTTTGACTACCAAAATGTAAAGTTCAGGTAGTATTTAGAATGAAAGATAAATAAGAGGTAAAATTTTACAAGTAACTTGATCAATTAAAATTTTTAAAGAATAATAGAATGTACAAAAGGTTCAAAAGCACCACTTTACTAATAATTTGAAAACTAAAAGTGGTAACATTCCACTTTGCTAACAACTCTTGAGTAAAAATAGTGAATCAGTGAGTGATTGAATCTATTATTACCAACTAAAACCATGTGGTTGCTATCAAAATGTGGTGAAGAATATACATACTAAGAAGAAAATGCCCATACATCAACTCTATATTGCTACTATACAATCAGCTCTATCATGCTACAATCAACATAAATGCAGCGATAAATCCATCCATTTTTGGACAAAATCCATTGTTGTTTGCTTCTGATATCGAACCAGAAAACAAACCCAGATTTGCTGGTTCATATGATTGAGACGTTACAACTTCGAGTATCAAAATTATATTCAACTATCTTCCGAGAGCCATTTCTATATTGGCTAAGCAGCCGGATATTATTTCTACAATTGTCTACGAAGATTCTCGACATACTACCTTTCCGTTGCAACCTCTTCTCAGAGCTCAGCAATTTGCGGTGGTGCGTGAACCACTTCCTGAGAACGTGGAGCAACTTTTGCTTACGATTACTCCGAGGACTACCATTTACAGAATCCTTTTCTTCATCCTCAACATCATCATAAATATCGACTCTATGGTACTCTAGTTTCCCCAGGAAATGCTTGTCATGTTCTAACCATTTTGGGTGCTTATCTTGAAAGCCACTAGAACTGCATAACATACATAAAAATATGCTTCCCTTCAGTCCATCATGTATAAATTGGAGGAGATTTATGCTATAAAATGCAAGGAAAATGAAGAACTTACAGACAGGGTTCATAGAGATCGGGATCAGGGTCCTCCTCTCTTTCTGTTCGCTTTCCCAAGTAAGAAATTGAGACATGTCGCACAAATTCAAGCTGAAAAGAGTAAGGGACATATGATTCTCAGAAATTTCACTAACACAGCGGTAAAGAAAAGAATGGGAGATAACCATTCATTCATCTAAATAAAAGCTCAAAAATGTGGATTGACAAAGCACCTGATCACCATCCCTGATCCCGTAAAGTCCAATAGGATCAGACTCAGAGAGTAGCTTCTCATAATCGTGGCTCAAGCAAAAATGTCCCCACACGTGTGGCCTGCAAGATCAAAACTTTAGTCATAACAGGAGTTGGAATTTAGAAAGATACTGAGACATAGATGCAGAGCTTTTTAAAAGTTTTCAACCAGCAATAGACACACCTCGATTAGACAATGAGGTATCCTAAATAGGCCTAACTATAGGAGACCCCTTTAAGCCCATACCATATCTAGACTAATCCCCGTTCGCACCAGGCTGGCTTAATTAAGGGGCAAAGTGTTGGCCATACAAGATGGGACCGCATTGGGCTCCAACTAATTTCAAAGTCGAGTTATTATTGTACCCTATTTGGAAGAACAACGCGTGTTTCTATTCACAAGAAGAGAATCAAGAATCAATCACCTCATCTAAGTTGAAATTAAACAATGCCCACTAATTGAGAATTTAGTAATACTCACTACTCAGCCAACACCAAATCAAATTCATAAAATTTCACCAAAAGGGGAATGATCTTGAGCCAATAATCCAAAAATCTTGCATTCATCATTCATGTAATAGCAGCAATAATACATACATACATACATACATACATACATACCATGAGACCTTGCAGGGTAAATGACTAAACGCCGCCTCCACCGCCTTCTTCAGCTCCGCCAGATTCCCATTCCTGGGCACTTCAATCTCTATCATCAAAATTAACAAAAACAAAAAGAACCCACATCAAGAAACAAAATTAATCTCCACAAACACAACGAACCCACAAATCAAAACATTGTAGAAAGCTCAAATTACCGAAAGAAGATCCATCCAATTTGAGAACGCTGAGCTTGAGTGGCCTCTGGGGTATCTTGCTGTATGAAAAACTCCTCCTCGGAAGGCCGTCATGGCGCAAGAATTCGACCGGACAGGACAATGACCCGTTCCGCTGGAATCTGATCATGGGTGTGCTATTACAGCTTTCATCGTATGCCTGCATGTTCACCATTTCACAAGAAATACAATAATGGCGTTTGTATTTGAAAAAGGAAAAGATCTTTTGTGTTTTTTTTTTCTTTAATTAATGAGTGCAAGGATTAGGGTTAGGGTTAGAATTGGTTTATGTCTGTGGGAGAGAGTTTAGAGAGAGAAATGAAGAGGAAGATGTGGGTGGGGAGAGAGAGAGAGAATGGAACGACTTCCTTCTTCTCCGCTTCTCTTTCTCGACATGACAGTTATTTCAGTTCGAACACTGTTATTTCACGCGCCAAACATTATAATATGTTTGATTATGACCACAATTTGGTCAAGTTTCCAAAATGGTTTTTTATTTTTATTTTTTATTAGTATAGTTTAACCTATTTATAGCATGAGACATTCTTGTAGTGTGGAGATTATGTTTAAAGTGTGAGCAGATTCTTTGTACGCATCGGTATTTGATCATGTATGCTGAACAATTGAATCACTGTGGTTTACATCCTTCTAAATGTTCTATCGTGTCAGGGTGCATGTGGAGACTTTTGAGATTGAAAATTCAACCTTTTGAGAAAAGTATGAGACCTTCCTTATGAAAAGTAACACTAATATCATTAAATCATAAAATATTTGACCAAAATGGATTATTAAAACCTTTGGTAGCGTCAAAATCTCTGCTTATATTCAACCTTCCCAATTTAATTTCATTGTTGTTATTCTTTTATGAATATGTTTAATGAATTTTCGTCACATTTTATTAAAGATAAAGTAGGGGATAAGTGAGCCAGACGTTATGCCATGGAACCGTGTTCACCATTCATGGTGAACACGGTTCCAACGGTGTTAGTGCACCGTTATCTTCTTCTTCTTCTTTTTTTTTTTTTTTTTTTTTTTTTTTTTTTTTTTTTTTAATTAATTACGTAACTGCCTACACATTCACTTTGGAACCATGCCTACACATTCACTTTGGAACCATGAGATTATGAATTTTCTGTTATGAGATTATGAATTTTCTGTTATGCGATTATGAATTTTCTGTTATGAGATTATGAATTTTCATTACATTCATAATTTCGGAGTTTCGGACATTCATAAATTATGAATTCATGCATGCACATTCACTTTGGAACCATGCCTACATATTCCCGTCCGAAATCACGGACATTCATAAATTATGAATCCATGCCTGCACATTCACTTTGGAACCATGCCTACACATTCACTTTGGAACCATGAGATTATGAATTTTCTGTTATAAGATTATGAATTTTCTGTTATGAGATTATGAATTTTCAGTTGTGAGATTATGAATTTTCTGTTATGCGATTATGAATTTTTTGTTATGAGATTATGAATTTTCATAAAATTCATAATCTTATAACAGAAAATTCATAATTTGATCAGTAACGCGCCGTTAACTCCACATCCGCGATTTCTTTTTTTTTTTTTGCCTAAAAACGACGTCGTTTTGACTTGTGTTCACCATTCTCGGTGAACACGATTCCACGGCATAATTTGCGTAAGTGAGCACTAACGATAATGTTTTTCGTTTCAAATTATGTAGTTTAGTAGAGATGTTACAACTTTTCATATCCGTTTGTCTTTATGTGTTAATCAGTCCATTCACGAGCTAATAAGATATATTAAGGGGCGGAGCCATGATTTGTTAGTATGGAGTCAATCATAATTTGATGAAGGCCTTTGACAGAGTTTCATTGCATTTTTTAAGAGCGGTTTTGGAACGACTTGGCTTCCCGGCTATATTCACAAACATTGTCATGAACAATTTGGAAGCAACAAGACTGTCAGTGCTGGTTAATGGTGTCAGTTGTGGATTTTTTCAGCCAACTAGAGGAGTCAAACAAGGGGACCCGCTTTTGCCGCTCCTCTTCATTTTGGCCTCAGAAGCCTTGTCGCGACCCTTAATCTTGAAAGTTGGGGTGGGTTTGTTGTCTCCATATTCCACTGCACCAAACTGCCCTCCGGTCACCCACTTGGCCTTCGCGGATGACATTGTGATTTTTGTAAATGGATCCTCGGCCTCGTTAACCGCCCTTGCCGATGTATTAAATCAATACCAAGACGGGTCGGGACAAAAAATTAACTACAACAAGAGTTTTTTCATTACCTCCAGTAAATGCACGCACAGTAGGGCTAATGCCATGTCGAGGGTTTTGGGAATGCAGAGGTCAGCTTTGCCTTTTCGTTACCTTGGGGTTAACCTCTTCAAGGGCAGAAACCGACCGATTTATATATTATCACCATTTGCTAGAGAAGATTGATGGTACTTTACACAACTGGCAACGAAAAATGCTTTCTCGGGGTGGGGGTGGGGGTGGGGGGTGGGGGGTGGGGCGTTTGACACTAATCCACCACGTACTCTCCATGGTGCCGCTATACACTACCTCTTCACTCCTCCTGCCGAAGCAGATTGAAAAAGCTCTTGAATCCAGGTTTGCCAACTTCTTATGGGGTATGGACGACGGCAAGCTGAAAAGACATTGGGCCTCGTGGAGAAAAGTGTGTTTTCCTGTAGAAGAAGGAGGACTCGGGCTTCGGTCTCTTGATTGCATTCAGCAGACTTTTTCTGCCAAACTCTACTTCAACTGGCTCCAAGGAGATTCGTTGTGGAGTGATTACATGCGAGCCAAATACCTAGGCTCCCCCCCGTGCAGCTGGAGTAGCTCAAAGACTCTGTGGATGAGAATACAGTGGTTAAATCCGAGGGGGCGCTGTATTGGTCACCTTCTTCTTTTGGCGATTTTACTTTCTCGTCAGCGTATGAGTCCCTACGACCATGGTTGCAAAACTCGGCCGCCTAGGCGCTAGGCGGCACTGAGCCTTAGAGTTTTGGCCTAAAGGCGGCCAAAACTCTGTAGGCCAAACTCGGCCGAGTCGGTCAACTCGTCCTACTCGGCAGAGTCGGTCAACTCGTCCTACTCGGCAGAGTCGGTCAACTCGTCCTACTCGGTCGAGTCGACCGATTTGGTTCGATTTTAACCCTTTTTAACCGATTTTGTCTAATTTTGACCGATGTCGTCTTTCATTAATTATTGATTTTAATATTATTATGACATCATGACTTATAAATTATCATTATTTCATTTATTTAGATGTTTTATTTGAGTGAACGTTGAAAACAACCTCATTAAAATTGTCGAACTACAAGTCTTTCACTATTTTTTAAAAATTTTTTTGGTGCCCGCCTAGCGCCGCCTAGAATCCGCCTAGACCGCCTAGGCGCTGTCCGGCCGCCCGACTAGCGCCTAGCGCTTACTGCAACCATGCCTATAACTGATAGCAGGTCAGAGTTTGTCCTCCCTTTGCATTTGGGGTGGTGGGATTCCTTCGTGAGTTTCGTTGTTCATGTGGAGGCTGCTTCGCCGGATTTTACCTTTTCCAGACATTGTTAAGAACCTTGGGGTGGTGTGTTTTCCCTCTGTTTGTCCTCTGTGTCGCCGTGATTCAGCTGAACTGGAGCACTGCTTGTATCAGGCTGTTATGGCTCGCCAAGTTTGGGGCCTTTTTGCTGGGGTTTTTGGGCTGCCTCGGACTGCTGCAAGCTCAATCAAAGCAGCATGCCATGCATGGTGGCTTCTAGCAAAACCAGGTTCGGCAACAGGCTAGTGTGCGAGACTGGTTCCTTCGCTAACTCTTTGGGTCCTGTGGTGCTCGTACAACTAGGGTCTTTATGATGACGGGCCTCTATCGACGTTTGAGGCTATTAGCAGGGTAAGAAATGAACTGTTCTTGATCTCTCTGACGGAATTGTCGCCGCCGAGGCCCAGGAGATGACTTTCTCCTTGCGGCTGGACTCGTGGCACGCTTTGGCACTCCTTCGCGAAGGACAACCGTGTAGATCAGGTGGCTTACACCGCCGGCGGGGAGACTAAAGCTTAACACGGACACGCCTTACTTGGCTGATGGGGCGGCGGGTGGAGCTTGCCTGCGGGATTCATGTGGTCGCCTTGCGGTGGGGCTATGCTTTCGCCTCGAAGCCTCCTCAACTCTCGAGACCGAGGCTCTTTTTCTCCAACTTGCTGTCCAATGGTGCGTTGCTTTTGCCAAACGACCTACTGAGGTTGAAGTCGACTCTCGAGTGCTAGCCGACTTGACGGCGTCGAGAACGGATAGGATACCGTGGCGGATAAGAGACGCGGTGCTTTTTATTCGATCATGCCTGACCTTGTGAAATGCCCAGATTAGACATATTTAACAACTACTCACGTTAAGCACAACCCCACGCAAATTAAGCACAAAACTCACGCACATTAATCACAAACTCCACTCACATGCGTGAGTTTTGTATATAAGATGCGTGAGTTTTGTGCGTAAGGTGCGTGAGTTTTGTGCTTAATGTGCATGGGGTTGTGCTTAACGTGAGTAGTTGTTAAAACTTAAAGTGTGGACTTTTGTGCTTAAGGTGCGTGCGATTTGTTCTTAATGTGAGTGGAGTTTTGCTTAATGTGCGTAGGGTTTGTGCTTAATGTGTGTGAGGTTAGTGATTAATGTCAGTAGTTGTTGAAACTTAAGGTCTGTGACTTAATACTTAAAGTGTGTGAGTTTTGTGCTTAATGTGCGTGAGGTTGTGCTTAATGTGCGTGGGTTTTGTACTTAATGTGCGTGAGTTTGTGCTTAATGTCAATAGTTGTTGAAACTTAAAGTCTGTGAGTTAATATTTAAAGTGCGTGGGTTTTGTGCTTAATGTGCGTGAGGTTGTGCTTAATGTGTGTGGGTTTTGTACTTAATGTGCGTGAGTTTGTGCTTAAGATCTAACACTTAAGGTGCGTGTTTCTATCACTTATGGTGCGCCATTGTTTCTATCACTTAAGGTGTGCCATTTATAGCTTATGCTTCTTTCTTCCAGACACTTTTTTTTTTTTTTAAATTTTCATTGATTTGAGCCGTTGATCTAAATTTGATCAACGGCTCAAATCTCACCGCACAACCGCACGAGAAGCTATACCCGCACCTGAACCATTCCCTATATATATATATATATATATATATTGTCTTACTATTTATTAGTCAAATCAATTCTCTTTTTTTTGATCATTTTTATTAGCATTTTTTATAAATTTTAAATTTGATTTATTGTATTTAATAGTACTATTAATGTAGTTTCTAAATATATAAATTTTACATACTAATTCTAAGCTTAAAATTATGAAAAATTAAATTGTAAAGAACTCAAATTAAGTCTCGTTAACCGAACCCGACGCATAAAATGAGACGGAGGGAGTATGTAATTTTGTTGTGTTTTTACTTTATTTATGATTTATGACAAAATGTGTATTACATTCATGCTATAAAGTATATATTATATACAAGACTTAAAGTATTGGTTATATATGTAAGTCTATTATGTTTTTACTTTATTTTCTGCAAACTGTCCATTACGGTTTTGTTATAAAGTACTACATTTATGCTATAAGGTATTATATAAGTATTGATTGAATATTGCTATGTTATTATTTTATGGAATAAGGGTCAAATAAATCATTGAACTGCACACGATAATGCAATTATGTCATTGAAAAAGAAAAACAATTGAGTCCCTAAACTAACTAATTTCATTCTATTACTCTAATTTAGAGGTTTTTCAGGTTACTAACAGAATAACAGGCCAACCCAAATATAAAATATTTTATAAAAATTATTTAATTAAAAAACCGTCTCTGGCGGATGCCTTTTTTTATA